TAGAGCGGCCTCGCCTATGAGCCTGCAGTTAGGGACCTCTGCGGCAGACAGAGCCAGGGCTGCAGCAGCAGAGAGCAGGTTTAGGGCACCGCTAGAGCCCAGGGCTACCCTTGCTGGGTGCTGCCTGTGTAACGGGCACAGCACAGCAAGGGCACGACACCATCAGGGTCCACATCTACAACAGACACTGAGCCAGCTGCACAGGCGGCCTCGCCTATGAGCCTGCAGTTAGGGACCTCTGCGGCAGACAGAGCCAGGGCTGCAGCAGCAGAGAGCAGGTTTAGGGCACCGCTAGAGCCCAGGGCTACCCTTGCTGGGTGCTGCCTGTGTAACGGGCACAGCACAGCAAGGGCACGACACCATCAGGGTCCACATCTACAACAGACACTGAGCCAGCTGCACAGGGTGGGATGATGCATCCACCTGCAGCAAGGGTAACCCCTTGGCCACCTCTTCCCTCCCCAGGGATGCAGAGAAGCAGCTTTGTTCCAAACCATCCCCTACCCAAGAGCGCTGGCAGCAGAGGAGCTCCTCTTGGGACAGAAAAGGCCATGCCTGGCCGCCCTGGAGATGGGGACCAGCAGCTCCAGGGACAGACACTGCCCCAGCCTACACACTGCCTTCACCATCAATGCTATGAGAAGAATCTCCTGCAGGAAACAGCCCCAAGAAGTCCCACTGTAGGAGCCTGGAGAACTTGAAAGTACTTTCCAAGTCAAAAAGGCTTTAATTAAAGTTTTGGGGGCAGAACAGGTATTTTCAGCAGCTGCTGAAAGATGCATTAAGCTACAACCCCAGGCAGCACTTTAGAAGTTGTTCCAGATTGCAAAGTGCCGCATTTCATGCTCCATGAAATATGGATTACAACCCACTACGGAAGAGACCGGGGTTCACCCCTCACTGAGGATCAAAAGAGGCTTTGCTGCTTGGGAACATTCCAGGCGCTGCCTTCCCCTTCACACCACACAAGCCCACAGACACTGCAAGCAAGTCCCACAGGGCCCGGATGCTGCCATGCAAACAGGTACATGAGGCAGTTTGCACCACCAGGGCACACGATGCTGAGCCTTCAACCCAAAAGGTGCAGGGGAAAAGAGGAGGAAAGAGGAAAGGGAAACAATCTGCTTGATGTTTCAGGGACACAACAATCTTCTAAGGGCACTCAGCAAAAGGACCCACCAAAAGGCATGAGCATTGTTTCACCTGAAGGATTTCTAATGACAAAACATGGTGTTTTCAGACAAAGAATGTCCGTGGAAACCCCCAAAAACCAGCTGCAGGAGCCTGGTCTTTCCTGCAAGTTGACCAACTGATTAGACACATCTTACTCCAGGCTCAGTCCAGGTGGGTTGGTTCAAATTCAGAGGGAAAGAAGGAAGCTGGGCAGTACAAAGAGATGGTTCAATATTCAGTGCACCTGACAGGCAGTTTCTGATCAGCCAGAGGCAAAACCTATGGATGGAGCAGCTCCAGCTTCACAACCTCAGCCAGTAACACGGGATCCCATGAGAGGTAACCGGCGGAGGTGGCACTACCTGCTCTCACACCTCAGTGTTTAGGAAGTGAAAGCCACTTAGAGTAGGAGCAAATAACCACCCCGCTCGGGATAAGCTGCAGATTAAACAGGCCTGGAAACGCTGAGTGCTACAAGAAAGAATCTGTGGGAAGAGGAGAGATCTGTGGTTAAACCTCCTGCTCCTACCCGGCCAGCTCGATGAGGCACTAGTTTGTCAAACCTTTGACTATCTCCTCTTGAGGAGTCACTGGCCTGTGTGTTTAATTTGCATTACAATATGCCAATGCTGCTGGTAAAAGGAGGCCCTGTCCTGAGGGGCTCCCCCAGATAGGAAGGTTTTCCTGCAGTTCAGATTCCCTGCTCAAGCTTTGTGAGGTGCAAGCAGGGAAAGCCAAATCTTCTCACCCATCCCGAGGGGAGGGATCCTTCTAGGTCTGTGGGTGGAAGCTGCATTTCCAGGCCCTGATTATGCAGCAAAACAGCAGCTTCTTCAGAATCAGATCGGCTGATGGAAGTGGCAGAGCTGACTTAATGAAGAGCTGTCGTGTTACACAAGAAAACCTCTCAGATTTACAGTTGTTTTCCTTCCTTGACATGCCTCAGTAGCATGTTAGTGATTTGATCTCACTCACACCCTGCTCAGCCCTCTGAGCCTGGCTGGGCCAGTCTCACTGCTCACAGTGGACCTCCTTGTTCACCCACGGCCTCAAGGCTGGTGGATGTGCAAGTGCCTTTGCTGGGGTCCATCCCACACTGCTTGGTGCTCAGGATGGAACAGGGGCAGGGAAATAACAGTCATTTTCCCCTTGAACCCCTAAGGCCAGGCTGAACAGTGCTTGGAGCAACCTGCTCTAGTGGAAGGTGTCCCTGCCCATGGCAGGGGGTTGGAACTGGGTGAGCTTTAAGGTCACTTCCAACCCAAACCGTTCTATGACAGCAGCACCCACCTTCCTGGGGCTGAGCCCCTCCACGTTCCCAGCCTGCTGCATCACTGTGCTCTGGGTTGAGCCACACACCACACAGTGCTGCTTGATTCAGAGGGGGTGGGTGCTGCTGGT